GCTGTTGTAAATAGAGCTGCAGTGAACATTGTGGTACATGACTCTTTTTGAATTATGGTTTTCTCAGGGTATGTGCCCAGTAGTGGGATGGCTGGGTCATATGGTAGTTTTATTTTTAGATTTTTAAGGAACCTCCATACTGTTCTCCATAATGGCTGTATCAATTTACATTCCCTCCAACAGTGCAAGAGGGTTCCCTTTCTCCACACCCTCTCCAGCATTTATTGTTTCTAGATTTTTTGATGATGGCCATTCTGACTGGTGTGAGGTGATACCTCATTGTAGTTTTGATTTGCATTTCTCTAATTATTAGTGATGTTGAGCATTCTTTCATGTGTTTGTTGGCAATCTGTATATCTTCTTTGGAGAAATGTCTATAGCTCATTTTTAAATATTAGTTTTTATCTGATTTGTAGGCATGTTTTCCTGGCATGATATCTTCGTACTTAAGGACATTATTCTGCTCCTTATTCTCTTTTATCTTTAATAACTTTCTAAAAGATTCTAGCATGATTTTCTGTTTGTAAGTTTTTAAGTAAAATAAATTTTTCTTTCTGTTTAAAAAGGAAGGATGGCCAGGATAGCCTTTCTAGTTTCAGGGCTCTAGAACTCATCTGTTGTTTTTACAAAGTGATAAGAAACTCTGTGTGTATGTGTGTGTGTGTGTGTGTCTGTGTGTATGTGTCTGTGTGTATCCTCAAACGTTCTGAGACCACTCATGTCTGAACTGCTTCCTTCCCCCTTCTCCTCTAACATCTGGTCCTTACTTTTGCTTTTGTCTCCCCATCCTAGTTCTGCTCGGTTTGGATTCTCTGTCCAGCAGTTTCTTCTCACTGCAGGGCTTTGCCTTGGAAGGGAGATCCTGTCTGTAGTTTCAAGGGTTTTCAGGGTTCTGGTGGTTCCACCACTGCCATAACCTATTGCTTTGCCGTCTTCTTTTGGGGGGAGGGTGTCTTTTATTTTTAGTTATTTATTTATTTAATTTTATTTTAAGTACAGTTGATGTACAATATTATACAAGTTTCAGGTGTACAACATAGTGATTCAAAAATTTTAAAGGTTATACTCCATTTATAGTTATTATAAAATATTGGCTATATTCTCTGTGCTGTATAATATATCCTTGTAACTTATTTAATTTATACAGAGTAGTTTGTACCTCTTAATCCTCTGCACTGTCTTACCCCTCCCTGTTTTCCTCTCCTCACTGGTAACCTCTCGTTTGTTCTCTATATCTGTGAGTCTGTTCCTTTTTCTTTTTCTTTTTAATATTCACTGGTTTGTTTTATTTTTTATATTCCACATATAAGTGATATCATACTATATTTGTCTTTCTCTGTACTTATTACACTAAGTGTAATACCCTCCAAGTCTGTCCATGTTGTTCCAACTGGAAAATTTCATTGTTTTGTATGGCTGAGTAGTATTCCATTGTACATATATACTACATCTTCCTTATCTATTCATCTGCTGATGGACACTTAGGTTGCTTCCATATCTTGGCTATTGTAAATAATGCTGCTATGAACATTGGGGTGCATGTATCTTTTTAAATTAATATTTTCATTTTTTTCAGATATATATCCAGGAGTGGAATTGCTGGGTTGTATCATAGTTCTATTTTTGGTTTTTTGAGGAACCTCCATACTGCTTTCCTCAGAGACTGCACCAATTTACATTCCCACCACCAGAGTACTAGGGTACCCTTTTCTCCACATCCTTGCCAACATTTGTTATTTGTGTTCTTGTTGTTGATAGGCATTCGACAGGTATGAGGTGATACTTATTGTGGTTTAAATTTGCATTTCTCTGATGATTAACAATACTGAGCATCTTTTCACATGCCTGTTGACCATCTGTACGTCTTCTTTGGAAAAATGTCTATTCAGGTCTTCTGCCCATTTTTCAATCAGGTTGTTTTGTTTTTTGCTATTGAGATTTATGAGCTGTTTATATATTTTGGATATTAACCCCTTATTCGTCATATAAGTTGCAAATATTCTCTCCCATTCAGTAGGTTGTCTTTTTGGGGTTTTGATGGTTTCCTTTGCTGTACAAAAGCTTTTAAGTCTAATTAGGTCCCATTGGTTTATTTTTGCCTTTATTCCTTTGCTTTAGGAGACAGATCCAAAGAAATATTGCTACAATTTATGTCAAAGAGTGTTCTGCCTGCCTATGTTTTCTTCTGAGAGTTCTATGGTTTTAAATCTTACATTTAGGTCCTTAATCAATTTTGAGGTTTTTTTGCATATGGTGTGATAAATTGTTTTAATTTCATTCTCTTACATGTAGTTGTCCAGTTTTCCTGGCATTAGAGACTTTTCTCTATTGTATATTCTTGCCTCTTTTGTTGAAGATTAATTGACCATAAATTCATGGGTTTATTTCTGGGCTCTTTATTCTGTTCCATTGATATATGTGTCTGTTTTTGTGCCACTATCATATTGTTTTGATGACTGTAGCTTTTTAGTATAGTCTGAAGTCAGGAAACGTGTCTCCTCCAGTTCTGTTTTTCTTTCTCTAGATTGTTTTGGCTATTCCAGGCCTTTTGTGTTTCCATACAAATTTCAAAATTATTTGTTCTAGTCCTGTGAAAAATGCCATTGGTATTTTGATAGGAATTGCATTGAATCTGTAGATTGCCTTGGGTAGAATGGTCATTTTACAATCTTAATTCTTCCAAACCATGAGCACATTAATTCTTTCCATCTGTTTGTGTTGTCTTCAACTTTTTTCATCAGTGTCTTACAGTTTTCCAAGTACAGGTCTTTTACCTCCTTAGGTAGGTTTATTCCTAGGTATTTTATTCTTTTTGATGCATTGGTAAATAGGAGTGTTTCCTTAATTTCTCTTTTTGATAGTTCATTGTTGGTGTATAGAAAAGCAATAGATTTCTATATATTAATTTTGTGTACTGCAACTTTAATGAATTCATTGATGTGCTCTAGTAGTCTTCTAGTGGTATCTTTAGGATTTTCTACATATAATATCTTGTCATCTGCAAACAGTGACAGTTTTACTTCTTCCTTTCCAATTTGGATTTCTTTTAAGCACTAAATATTCCCTTTTTTTATTGGAGTATAGTTGCTTTACAATATTGTGTTAGTTTATACTGTACAGCAAAGTGAATCAGCTATATGTATACATATATCCCTTCTTTTTTCGATTTCCTTCTCATTTAAGTCACCACAGAGCACTAAGTAGTGTTCCCTGTGCTATACAGTAGGTTCTCATTAGTTACCTATTTTATACATAGTATCAGTAGTGTACATATGTCAATCCCAATCTCCCAATACATCCCACACCCCCTCCCTATCCCCCTGGGTATCTATACGTTTGTTCTCTACATCTGTGTCTCTACTTCTGCTTTGTAAACAAGATCGTCTATACCAATGTTTTCAGATTCCTCATGTGCACGTTAATATACGATATTTGTTTTTCCCTTTCTGACTTACTTCACTCTGTATGACAGTCTCTAGGTCCATCCATATCTCTACAGATGACCCAATTTCATCCCTTTTTATGGCTGAGTAATATTCCATTGTATATATGTACCACATATTCTTTACCCATTCCTCTGTTGGTGAACATTTAGGGTGCTTCCATGTCCTGGGTAATGTAAATAGTGCTGCAATGAATATTGGGGTGCATGTGTCTTTTTAAATTATTGTTTTCTCTGGGTATATGCCCAGTAGTGGGATTGGTGGGTCATATGGTAGTACTATTTTTGGTTTTTAAAGAAATCTCCATACTGCTCTCCATAGTGGCTGTATCAGCTTACATTTTCACCAGAAAAGCATGAGGGTTCCCTTTTCTCCACACCCTCTCCAGCATTTATTGTTTGTAGATTTTTTTTTTTTTTTTTTTTTGTGGTACGCAGGCCTCTTACTGTTGTGGCCTCTCCCGTTGTGGAGCACAGGCTCCGGACGCGCAGCCTCAGTGGCCGTGGCTCACGAGCCCAGCCGCTCCGCGGCACGTGGGATCCTCCCAGACCGGGGCACGAACCCGTGTCCCCTGCATCAGCAGGCGGACTCCCAACCACTGCGCCACCAGGGAAGCCCTGTTTGTAGATTTTTTGATGATGGCCATTCTGACCAGTGTGAGGTGATACCTCGTTGTAGTTTTGATTTGCATTTCTCTAATAATTAGTGATGTTGAGCATATTTTCATGTGTTTGTTGGCCATCTGAATGTCTTTCAAGAAATGTCTATTTATGTCTTCTGTCCTTTTTTTTTTTTTTTTTTTTTTGTGGTATGCAGACCTCTTACTGTTGTGGTCTCTCCCATTGCGGAGCACAGGCTCCAGGCACGCAGGCTCAGCAGCCATGGCTCACGGGCCCAGCTGCTCCGCGGCATGTGGGATCTTCCTGGACGGGGACACGAACCCGTGTCCCCTGCATCAGCAGGTGGACTCTCAACCACTGCACCAGGGAAGCCCTGCCCATTTTTTGATTGGGTTGTTTGTTTTTTTGATATTGAGCTCCATGAGCTGCTCGTATATTTTGGAGTTTAATCCTTTGTCAGTTGCTTCGTTTGCAAATATTTTCTCCCATTCTGAGGGTTGTCTTTTCATCTTGTTTATGGTTTCCTTTGCTGAGCAAAACATTTTAAGTTTAATTAGGTCCCACTTGCTTATTTTTGTTTTTACTTCCATTACTCTAGGAGGTGGGTCAAAAAGGATCTTGCTGTGATTTATATCATAGAGTGTTCTGCCTATGTTTTCCTCTAAGAGTTTTATAGTGTCTGGCTTTACATTTAGATCTTTAATCCATTTTAAGGTTTTTTGTGTGTATGGTGTTAGGGAGTGTTCTAATTTCATTCTCTTACATGAAGTTGCCCAGTTTTCCCAGCACCACTTATTGAAGAGGGTGCCTTTCTCCATTGTATATTCTGCCCTCCTTTGTCATAGATTAGGTTACCATATGTGTGTGGTTTTATCTCTGGGCTTTCTATCCTGTTTCATTGATGTATATTTCTGTTTTTGTGCCAGTACCATAGTGTCTTGATTACTGTAGCTTTGTAGTATAGTCTGAAGTCAAGGAGCCTGATTCCTCCACCTCTATTTATGTTTCTCAAGATTGTTTTGGCTATTCAAGGTCTTTTGTGTTTCCATACAAATTGTAAAGTTTTTTGTTCTAGTTCTGTGAAAAATGCCATGGGTAATTCAATAGGGATTGCACTGAATCTGTAGATTGCTTTGGGTAGTATAATCATTTTCACAATATTGATTCTTCCAATCCAAGAACATGGTATATCTCTCCATCTTTTTGTGTCATCTTTGATTTCTTTCATCAGTATCTTATAGTTTTCCATGTACAGGTCTTTTGTCTCTTTAGGTAGGTTTTTTTCCTAGGTGTTTTATTCTTTTTATTGCAATGGTGAATGGCGCTGTTTCCTGAATTTCTCCTTCTGGTCTTTCATTGTTAGTGTATAGGAATGCAAGAGATTTCTGTGTATTAATTTTGTTTCTTGCAATTTTACTAAATTCATTTATTAGCTCTATTAGTTTTCTGGTGGCATCCTTAGGATTTTCTTTTAATTATTTATTTTTATTTCTTAAAATTTATTTATTTATTTATTTATTTCATTGTGTCAAGTCTTAGTTACAGCAGGCGGCCTACTTAGTTGTGGCTCGCAGCCTCCTTGGTTGTGTCACTTGGGCTCTTTAGTTGTGGTATGCAAACTCTTGGTTGCAGCATGCACGTGGGATCTGGTTCCCAGGGATTGAACCCAAGCACCCTACATTGGGGTTATGGAGTCTTAACTACTGTGCCACCAGGGAAGTCCCTAGGATTTTCTATGTATAGTATCATGTCATCTGCAGTGACAATTTTACTTCTTCTTTGCTAATTTGGATTCCTTTTATTTCTTTTTCTTCTCTGATTGCCATTACTAGGCCTTCCAAAACTATTTTGATAGTAGTGGTGAGAGTGAGCACTCTTGTCTTGTTCCTGATTTTAGAGGAAAGGCTTTCAGTTTTTCACCACTGAGAATAATGTTTGCTGTGGGTTTGTCGTATATGGCCTTTATTATGTTGAGGTAGGTTCCCTCTATGCCCACTTTCAGGAGAGTTTTTGAATTTTCTCAAAGGCTTTTTCTGCATCTATTGAGATGATCATGTGATTTTTATTCTTCAATTGGTCAATATGGTTTATCACACTGATTGATTTGTGTATACTGAAGAATTCTTCCATCCCTGGGATAAATCCCACTTGATTATGGTGTATAATCTTTTTAATATGTTGTTGAATTCGGGTTGTTAGTATTTTGTTGAGGATTTTTGAGTCTATGTTCATCAGTGTTATTGGCCTATAATTTTCTTTTTTCTGTGATATCTTTGTCTGGTTTTGGTATCAGGGTGATGGCAGCCTCATAGAATGAGTTTGGAAGTATTCCTCCCTCTGTAATTTTTTGGAAGAGTTTGAGAAGGATAGGTGTTATCTCTTCTCTAAATGATTGATGGAATTCGCCTGTGAAGCCATCTGGTCCTGGACTTTTGTTTGCTGGACGGTTTTTAATCACAGTTTCAATTTCCTTACTTGCGATTTGTCTGTTCATATTTTCTGTTTCTTCCTGGTTCAGTCTTGGAGAGTTGTACTTTTCTAGGGATTTGTCCATTTCTTCCAGGTTGTCCATTTTATTGGCATATAGTTGCTTGTAGTAGTCTCTTATGATCCTTTGTATTTCTGCAGTGTCTGCTGTAACTTCTCCTTTTTCATTTCTAATTTTATTGATTTGAGTCCTCTCCCTCTTTTCTTGATGAGTCTGGCTAAAGTTTTATCAATTTTGTTTATCTTCTCAAAGAACCAGCTTTTAGTTTTATTGATCTTTGCTATTGTTTTCTTTGTTTCTATTTCATTTATTTCTATTCTGATATTTATGATTTATTTCCTTCTACTAAGTTTGGGTTTTGTTTGTCCTTCTTTCTCTAGTTGCTTTAGGTCTAAGGTTAGGTCTTTTATTTGAGATTTTTCTTGTTTTGGAGGTAGGATTGTACTGCTATAAACTTCCCTCTTAGAGCAGCTTTTGCTGCATCCTATAGGTTTTGGGTCATCGTGCTTTCGTTGTCATTTGTCTCTAGGTATTTTTTTGATTTCCTCTTTGATTTCTTCAGTGATCTTTTGGTTATTTAGTAGCATATTGTTTAGCCTCCATGTGTTTATGCTTTTTACAGTATCTTTTTTCCTGTAATTGATTTCTAATCTCATAGCGTTATGGTAGGAAAAGATGCTTGACAGGTTTTCAATTTTCTTAAGTTTACAGAGGCTTGATTTGTGACCCAAGATGTGATCTATCCTGAAGAATGTTCCATGTGCACTTGAGAAGAAAGTGTATTCTGCTACTTTTGGATGGAATGTCCTATAAATATGAATTAAATCTACCTGGCCTATTGTGTCATTTAAGGATTGTGTTTCTTTATTTATTTTCCATTTGGATGATCTGTCCATTGGTGTAAGTGGGGTGTTAAATTCCCCTACTATTACTGTGCTACTGTTGATTTCTCCTTTCATGGTTGTTAACATTTGCCTTATGTATTAGCGTGCTCCTATGTTGGGTGCACAAAGATTTATAATTGTTATATCTTCTTCTTGGATTGATCGTTTGATCATTATGTAGTGTCCCTCCTTATCTCTTTTACCAGTCTTTATTTTAAAGTCTACTTTTTCAAATACGAGTATTGCTACTCCAGCTTTCTTTTGATTTCCATTTGCTTGGAATAGCTTTTTCCATCCCCTCCCTTTCAGTTTGTATGTGCCCCTGGGTCTGAAGTGGGTGTCTTGTAGACAACATATATACAGGTCTTGTTTTTGTATCCATTCAGCCAGTCTGTGTCTTTTGATTGGAGCATTTAATCTATTTACACGTAAGGTAATTATTGATATGTATGTTCCTATTACCATTTTCTTAATTGTTTTGGGTTTGTTTTTATAGGTCTTTTTCTTCCTTGTGTCTCCTGCCTAGAGAAGTTCTTTTAGCATTTGTTGTAAAGCTGGTCTGGTGGTGCTGAATTCTCTTAATTTTTGCTTGTATAAAGCTTTTGATTTCTCCATCAAATCTGAATGAGAGTCTTGCTGGGTAGAGTAATCTTGTTTGTAGGTTTTTCCTTTTCATCACTTTAAATATATCCTGCCCCTTCTTTCTGGCCTGCAGTGTTTTTGGTGAAAGATGAGCTAATAACCTTATGGGGATTCCCTTGTATGTTATTTGTTGTTTTTACCTTGCTGCCTTTAATATTTTTTCTTTGTATTTAATTTTTGTTAGTTTGATTACTATGTGTCTCGGCATGTTTCTCATTGGGTTTACCCTGTATTGGACTCTCTGCACTTCCTAGACTTGATTGACTATGTCCTTTCCCATGTTAAGGAAGTTTTCGACTATAATCTCTTCAAATATTTTCTCAGACCCTTTCTCTTTTTCTTCTTCTTCTGGGACCCCTATAATTTGGATGTTGGTGTATTAAATGTTATCCCAGAGGTCTCTGGTACTGTCCTCAAGTCTTTTCATTCTTTTTTCTTTATTCTGCTCTATGGCAGTTATTTCCACCATTCTATCTTTCAGCTCACTTATGCATTCTTCTGCCTCAGTTATTCTGCTATTGATTCCTTCTAGCGTATTTTTAATTTCAGTTATTGCATTGTTCATCACTGTTTGTTTGTTCTTTAGTTCTCTAGGTCCTTGTTAAACATTTCTTGCATTTTGTCCATTCTATTTCCAAGATTTTGGATCATCTTTACTATCATTACTCTCAATTCTTTTTCAGACAGATTGTCTATTTCGTCTTCAATTATTTGATCTTGTGGGTTTTTATCTTGCTCCTTTTTCTGCAACATATTTCTCTGTCTTCTCATTTTGTCTCACTTACTGTTTTTGAGGTTTCCTTTCTGCAGGCTGCAGAGTCATAGTTTCTCTTGCCTCTGGAGTCTGCCCCCAGTGGGTGAGGTTGTTTCCAGTGGCTTGTGTATGTTTCCTGGTGGGAGGGACTGGTTCCTGAGTTCTGGTGGATGGAGCTGAATCTTGTCTCTCTGATGGGCAGGGCTGTGTCAGATGGTGTGTTTGGGGGTCTCTGTATGTTTAGTATGACTTTAGGCAGCCTGTCTGCTGATGGGTAGGTTTGTGTTCCTCTCTTGCTTATTGTTTGGCATGGGGTATTCAGCACTGTAGCCTGCAGGTAGTTAGGTGGAGCAGGGTCTTGGAGTTGAGATGCAGCCCTCTTGGAGAGCTCTTTCAATTTAATATTCCCTGGGACTGGAAATTCTCTGGCATCCCAGCATCCTGGACTCAGTGCTCCAACCCCAGAGTCTCAGACCCAACTCTCGGCCTGGGAACCATGACCCTGCAAGCCACACGTCTTGGCAATTAAAGGAAAAAAGAAAAAAAAAGGGGGCAGGAAGCAAACAAATGAAAACAAGCAGATAAAAAAACCCAAGACAAATCTCAAAGACAAAAACAAACAACATCAACAAAAATTAGGACAAACAAACACACACACATACAAAAAAAGCACAAAAACAAAAACAGAAAACAAAAAGCAAGAGAACAACCAGACAAACAGAAAATCCCAAAATGAAATCACACAATTAAAAATGAAACTGACAAATACAAAAAATAAAGAACAAGATAAGAGCAGAAGGCAAACTGAAGGGAAAAGCAAACAAAACAAACACACAAAAATTATTTTAAAAGAAGTATAAAAAGATAAGAACAAATAGAACAAGAAAGAAAGATATAAACAAAATAGAATAAAGGAAAGAAAAAAGAAAATAAGGAAAAAACACAGAAAAACAGAAAAAGTAACAAAGAGATAGAAATATTTTAAAAAACTGTATTAAAATTTTTTAACTAAATGAAAATAAAAACAAATGATAATAAAACAACAACAGAACAAAACATTAAAAAAATAGTAGTAATTATATTTTCCTGAGGTCTCAGCTGTCAATGTCCTTGCCCCCACCATGAGTTACAGCCAACGTTCACCTCCCCAGCAGGCCCTCCAAAACCTCGTTAGGTCTCTGGTCCCTCTGTGGGCACTGTGGTGGCAGATCAGACTCTGACCTGGCCCAACTTCTGCATGTACTAGTCCCCAAAGCCCACAGCTCTTAGAGCTAGACCAGTTTCATTTCTGGGAACACACATTGTCCATTCAGCTATTCCACAGATGCAACGTTTACCAAGCTGATCATGGGGATTTAATTTGTGGCTTGTGCAGCTGCACAGGAAGACTTTTGTTCCTCTTCCTTAGTCGCCTTGCCCCTGGGGCTCAGCTGTGAGGCTCACCTCTGTGTGTGGACCACCCACAGAAGTCTGCTCCCGAGGCTGCCCTGGAGGAAGTGGGTCTGCCCCAGTGAGGGCAGGGCAGAGAGGTGGCATGATTGCCTGTGTCGCGGGAGCCCTGGTGGTAACAGGTGCACAGGAAAGACAGAAGACAAGGACATTATAGATCCGGCCCTAGCACCTGATGGCCAGTGTAAGAAGGTCAGCCCCGGCGGGGGCTTTTCTTAGCCCTGGCTGCAGGTGTGAAAAGGTCAGCTCCGGTTATGTGGGGATCTTTCTTGTCCTTTCCAGTGTCCAAGGTCTTCTGCCAGTGTTCAGGCAGTGTTCTGTGAGAATTCTTCCATCTGTAGATGTATTCCTGATGCACTTGTGAAGAGAGATGAACTCCACATCCTCCTACTCCTCTGCCATCTTGGTCCACCCCTCCTAATTTGGATTTCTTTTTCTTGTCTGATTGCTGTGGCTAGGACTTCCAATACTTTGTTGAATAAAGTGGTGAGAGTGGCTTTGCCATCTTCTTGCATGCACACCCAAATTGGATCTTGCGGAACCCTTTCAGTTCTAGTGGCTATTCTGAGATTGAGCCACTATGCTTTCTGGTGAGTGCTTTTTGTTGACTTAGGGACTGTCAGAAACCCAGTTGCTTTACATTTGTTTCATCCTATACAGTTCCCACATGGATCTTGAAGCTTTGGGTAGTTTGTCCCCATCCACTCACATTTGGGGTGTGTGTGGATGCCTTGCCATGCAGTTTTATTGTAGATGTTACCTACTGGTGTTTGATTTGGTAGCCTAACTGCTCTGTCTGTTTATCTGAGAGACTTAGGAAAACTCATAACTATGCTACCTCTCCATCAACCTGGTATTTTCTGTCTCCAGCTAGATTCTGAGCAGGAACCAGGTCATATATTTCTTTCATAACCACCATGCCATTTTGCCAGTGTTAGGTAAAGAGATCATTTGATACCTGCTGACTGATGTAAGTTTATGTATTAAGTTTCCCATTGGATATGTAACAAGTTACCATAATCTTAGTGGCTCAGAAGTTTGGTCACAGCTTATCTGGGTTCTCTTTTTCAGGGTCTTTACCACCTTGCAATCTAGAGTTGGCCAGGCCTGATTGGGAAACGGTCCATATCCAAGCTCCCTCAGGTTGTTCGCATAATTTGTTTGCAGGACTGAGGTCCCCGTTATTCGCTGGCTGTCATCCAGGGGCTGCTCTCAGCCCCTCAGTTCCACCCACAGTACCTTGCCACATAGCCTTCCCCATGGGCCCTCTCAGATAATGGCAGCTTACTACAGCCAGCAGTAGAGAAAGTCTCTGATGCATGCTGGCAAAATTAGCCATATACATATCATAACATAATAACAGGGGTGATATTGCATCAGCTTTGTCATATTCTACTGGTTAGAAGCAAGTAATATGTTTCTCTCACACTCAAGGGGAGAAAACTATGCAGGACATGAACATGGAGCCACACTAGAATCGGTCTACCACAGTTTACGTCTGCCTTGGAACCTGGTTTACCCTCTTTATTTGTTAAGACAAACAACTTTATATTCATAGACTTCCAATTGTGACTTTTTGCTCAATTCCTGGGCACATGATAAAAAATTCAAATACAATAATGAATTATCCAGTTCGAATATAAATATCTGACTTTGGGAATTTGAAAATCCTACTACAACTAGGTTATTTTAATACTCTGATTCCCTGCCCTTCTCTGTGAAATGGGATGGGTATCTCTACTACTCCCAACCACACAAAGTACAAAATGATGCTTTTTGGTATGTTTAGGGAAAAGAAGTTTTCATACATATACATCTGATGCATGTTTAACCTATTTTGTTTCATCTGTGCTTGTGTATATTTTTGGAGTTATTCGGAGAACTCATCTTCAAGAATGCAATTGTTTCAGTACTCCAATGAATCAGACTATCCACGTAACCATTTGGGGGAGAATCAAAAGACATATATATTTTGGAAAGCACATTTTTTTGGTACAAATAAGGAATGAAATAGTATTCCCCATGCCAGGCCATTGTAAGACTTTAATGAACAAATTCATTGTTTGAATATAAGGTGGCATTGTTTATTATTTCTGCTTTTGTTCTAATAGATTAGGGTATCCATCACTTTCATCTCTGCCTCCTCATATGCTCATTCTGTCTTCTCTCTTCTTGATCTCATCATTTTTCCACTGAGCATGAAACAGGTAGGAAAAAGTGCCTCTCTCTGGTGAAGATACACAATCATCTTTTAGTAATGATGTTCTGTAGCTTGGAAGCATTCAGCTGTGAGAGTGAGGGCTCTTCTTATCTGCTTCACTGTAGGTGAGACAGTGAACAGTTCCTCCTTTGATGGATGACACCTAGATGCTGTTTGTTATGGCAAAGCTGTCTTCTCCTGGCAACAAGGAGGAGGTGGGGATGGGGGACTCAAGATACAACCCACAATGTATGGGTACACATTGTGCAGGACACACTGCCCTGGTAATTCCTAATTCCCTTCCTTGTGAGAACGGCAAGAATAACAATCAGAGTTAACATTTATTGAATGATTAATACCCAGGAGTGATATGCAAAAGCAGCATAGGCATCAACCAATCAGAATGATTGCTTCTTGTAACAGCATCCATTCTGACCAGCCCATGCTCTCCCCATACCAGTCAAATATCTTATCAAATAGCTATTTGGACATTTGAGGACTGCCAATGTGAACCCCACCTTACTACCTGCTGGGCACTGGACACCTCAAGGACCTTTGCTCTTTGGATCTTTTCAGCCACCCTGCGAGATGTATGCTCTTATTATTACAACTTGACATCTGGGGAGACTGAGGCTTAAAGAGACAGACTTGTCCCATGTCACACAGCTGAGGGGAAGTGGGACTGGATTCATACCCTGGTCTGCTGACCCAGGAGTCTAGGCTGTTAAGTTCTACATTCTCATAACTCTTGAGGAAGCCATGCGTTATGGCTCTTCCTGCCCTTATGAGACATGTACACTTTAGGGACATGAAGGCTGGACTTTATCATCCTGGCCTTAGTGACAAGGAAAGTTGCCCTTGGCCAATCCACAGAGGAAAGCAATGCAAACAGCTGAGTGAAGTGACAGAATTAGGAATGAGCCCTGGGGCCAGACCTCTGCCCCAGAGATCACCCTGGAGTTGATCCAAGGTCCTTGGAGGATGACGGAAGCCCAAAGTCCAGACTGAGCTTCCAGCCAAAGGGGGCATTTTTCAGATAATTGCCCTGGATCCTAACTCCACATTCCTCTAGCTGTCAAGAGAATTCTATCTGGTTGTGGCTTTTGAAGCTGGGTTTATTTAGAGCAAAGTAAACAACTGGGTTCCAGAGATGAACCACACTGATCTTACATCAGTGTCTTTTCTGATTGGTTGAATTTTTTGTTCTTCAGCCAGCAGCGACACCACATCGTCACTGTCTGTGAGCCATTTTGATGGTGACATGTTACATTCCCAGGAACCTTATTTTTCAGCTGTGACACACAGGACCATTGACACCCACGTGCCCACACACTGCCATAAGCTGTCTTCATGTTCTGTGCATTCCCAGCTGTCACCCTCACCTCTTTCCTTCAAGAACATGTGTGGGAATAAAAAGAATGAGTGTGATGTTACTAGAGGTATCCACTTGGATGAGTTCCTTAACCTCTCTGAGCCTCAGTTTCCACATTTGTAAACTGTAATTGAAATACACATGCTCTGGGTTGGGGAGGGGTTGGGGAGGGTTCTTCCAGGGTGTGGAAGAAGGAAGGCACGATTTGTCAGAGCAAATTTTTATCCCAACTTCTCCACAACATTCACATCCATAGACTAGATGACATTCTTGAGTTGTAAAGAATGAGATACAATAAAATACCAAAATTTGCATTATCATTGCCATTACTATTACAAATATTACTATTATCAACAACAACAGTGATGCTATTAACAGTTGCTATGTATCAGATATTTACTACATGGCAAGCAGACTGCAAAATGAGATACATCTCATATTTCATTCATTCCTTAAAACCACCCTCTGAAATTAGACTTCATGTAGGTACGTTTTACCATTGCTCTGGCTTAGAGGACTAGATGAGTGGGTCCCAGAGTGGAGGAACAGATCTAGGTGGTCTGCATAGAGACCCAGAGTCCTCCAGTGCCCACCAGCCAACACGAGCATCGTCTGCTGCTGCCATCAGGAAGCCGTGTGGGTTCTTACTGCCTCGGAGCCTCCAGCTTCCATCCCAGTGAGAAGCATTGCCCATGCTGAGGGGCTGCACTAGTCATCCTGCCTCTGGGTGCCCAGGGAAGACATCCCATCCTCAGCAGCCAACAAAGTTGTTATTGCCTAAAATCACACAGCAGAAGTGATGTCTATCTGGCTTCAACATGTGCAGTGCTCCTGTGACATTTTCCACATGACCCGTAACACTAGTAAGCTCCCCTGATCACAACGAACACTGGAGTCAAAAGCACCAGGAAGACTGGAGAGGCATGGAGCCCTTCTGATGGGCCTGTGCATCTTCCTTGTAGCCAGGGCAGTGGTAAAACACACCCACATTAGTGTTGTTTTGAGGGATGAAGGAGTATGAGATATATGATATTAAGCACAGTCCCTGGGACATTATAAATAATAGTGATTGTTATTATTAGTAAATAATACCATACCAATAAAGTAAAGAGTGTGCAAGCATTGGTACAGGCAAGCCTTGGAGATACTGCAGGCTTGGTTCCAGACCACTGCACTAAAGTGAATATCACAATAAAGCAAGTCACACAAATATTTTTGTTTCCTGGTACATAGTTCACACCATATTATAGTCTATTAAGTGTGCAATAGCATTGTGCCTAAAAAAAACAATGCACATGCCTTAATTTAAAAGTACTTTATTATTTAAAAAAATGCTAACCATCATCTGAGCCTTCAGCGAGTCATAATCTTTTTGCAGGTGGAGGGTCTTGCCTCCATGTTGGTGGTTGCTGAAGGTTGGGGTGGCTGCAGCAATTTCTTAAAACAAAAGAACAATGAATTTGCAACTTTGATTGACCCTTCCTTTCATGAATGATCTCTTTGTAGCCTGCAAGGCTGTGTGATAGCATTTCACCCATAGTAGAATGTCTTTCAAAATTGGAGTCAATCCTCTCAAACCCTGCTAATGTTTTATAAAATAAGTTGATGTAATATTCTAAATTTTTTGTTGTCATTTCAACAATCTGCACAGCAGCTTCACTGGAGAAGCTTTCATCCAAAGAAACCACTTTCTTTGCTCACCAGTAAGAAGCAGCTCCTCATCCATCAAGTTTTATGAAGAGATACAGTAATTCAATCCCATCTTTAGGCTCCACTTCTAATTCTAGCTCTTTTGCTGTTCCATCGCATCTGCAGTGACTTCCTCCACTGAAGTCTTGAATGCCTCAAAGTCATCCAGGAGGGTTGGAATCAACTTCTTCCAAACTCCAGTTAATGTTGATATGTTGACCTCTTCCCATGAATCATGAATGTTCTTCATGGCATCTAGAATGGTGAATACTTTCCAGAAGGTTTTCAATTGACTTTGCCCAGATCCATCAGAGAAATCACTACCTATGGCACCTATAGCCTTACAAAATATATTTCTTAAATAATAAGACCTGAAATTTGAAATGACTCCCTGATCCATGAGCTGCAGAATGGATGTTGCGTTACCAGGCCTGAAAACATCATTAATCTCTTTGTACATCTCCATCAGAGCTCTTGGGTAACTAGGTGCCTTGTCAATGAGCCGTAATATTTTGAAAGGAATATTTTTTTCTGAGCAGTAGGTCTCAACAGTGGGCTTAAGATGTTCAGTCAGCCCTGTTGTAAACAGATGTGCTGTCATCCAGGCTTTGTTGTTCCTTTTACAGAGCACAGGCAGCGTAGATTTAGCATAATTCTTAAGAGCCCTAGAATTTTGAAATGCTAAATGAGCACTGGCTTCAATTTCAAGTCACCAGCTGCATTAGCCCCTAACAAAAGTGTCAGCCTGTCCTTTGAAACTTTGAAGTAAGGCATTGACTTCTCCTCTATGAAAGCCCTAGATGGCATCTTCTTCCAATATAGGCTGTTTTGTTTACACTGAAAATCTGTTGCTTAGTGTAGCCACCTTCATGAGTATCCTAGCTAGACTTTGTGGAGAAATTGCTGCAGCTTCTACATCAGCACTTGCTGCTTCACCTTACTTTTTGATGTTATGGAGATGTTCCTGTCTCTAGAAATGGCCACTGATGAACTGGCCACAGGGTGTGGATATAAACACTGGAAAAAGTAACCTGAAACAACCTGATGCAGACATGAAACATCGTATCTCACTGGCATCCGGCCAGGATATTGACAGTGTCATGTTAGATCTAAGTGTTCTTGCTTTCAAGGTCATTCTAGCCAGAATAAAACTCTTCAAATCACTAGTACCTCATGGTTTTTGTCTTGTGTTTTTAGTGTGTCTAGAGCTCTTACTAATAAGTGCCCATTTCACTCTCTTTCCATAGTTATGTTAAGTCATGCTGAGATTGAATTCCTTTGCTCATCTTTCAGCCTAAGATAAACCTCATTTTCTTACCTTAGATGTAGAGTCTTTGAGTCTTGGAGCCAAAAAAGCCCTCAAGCCCATTAATCTGGTGCTATCTCACAGAACAGTCTGCCAGGATGGAATATTCCAGATCTGCACTGTCTTGTGTGGTCACCACAAGACACAGGTGCCTACTGAGCCCTTCAAGTGTGGCTCACGTGACTGAGCAACTGAATTTTTAATATTATCTAATTTTAATGAATTCAAATTTAAATAGCCTTTTGTGGCTAGTGCTGTTTCCTGGATGATGAAGATCTACTTCAATCCCTTCATTTCACCCATGAGTCCCACCATCAGTGACCCAGACACAAGCACACACCAGTTACAGGTACAGAGAAGCACAGAAAGCACTGAGTGCTGTCTTCATCCGTGTGAGCTCCTACAGCAAAGTGCCATGGACTGGGTGGCCTACAAACAATAGAAATGTGTTTCTCACAGTCTGGAAGCTGGAAGGGTCAGGTACCAGCATGGTCGAGTTCTGGCAAGAGCCTGCTTCCTGGTTCAGAGACAGTGGGCTTTTCACTGTGTCCTCACATGGAGGAAGGGGGACAGAGGTCTCTGGGGTCTCTTTTATAAGGGCACTAATCCCATTCGGGAGGGTTCCTCCCCACCTCCAAATACCATCATATTAGGGATTAGGTGTCAACAAATGAATTTGGGGGAAGGGTTGCAAACATTCAGTCAAAAGCAATTGCCAGGCTTCCCTGGTGGCACAGTGGTTGAGAGTCCACCTGCTGATGCAGGGGACACTGGTTCGTGCCCCGGTCCAGGAGGATCCCACATGCCACGGAGTGGCTGGGCCCGTGAGCCATGGGCGCTGAGCCTGCACGTCTGGAGCCTGTGCTCCACAGCAGGAGAGGCCACAACAGTGAGAGGCCTGCGTACAGCAAAAAAAAAAAAAAAAAAAAGCAATTGCCAACTCTGTTTTTTCTATCATATCATGCTCGCACTCATTTGTCCCCAGGCAGAAACAGCTTGCCACATGCCCACTCAGGGTATTGGGAGGGAGGGTGGGTGGGGAGATGGGCAGATGCAAGCTGCTTTGGTTGTCTTGGTACATCAACTATGCAAACACTCTGAGGAGACAGGAAAAATATAAAACATCTTGTTTGAAATACTAAAAGTTAAGGAAAAGCAGAAGATTGTAGTGATGTGGGGCCATGTTTGCCTCATCTAAAGGTAAAGGTCACTGTTAATGAGAACTAAATAGACACTATTCTTCTCCTGCCCAAGGTTGTAAAATGTGTGGAGAAAGGAAACTGACTGCTTAGGGGACAAAGATAAAGCTGTTTTCCTTGCTCATGAGACAGGTGCCCTTTTGAGTGCCTGAGTTTTGTGTGGCTTTAGGATTGTGGAGGATGGGAAATAATGAAGTGCTGCTTTCTCCATCTGGAAGCACTGTGACTTCATCTGTATGTTCTATAGCTAAATCTAGAAAGAGTGACATTACTAAATATTGGCAAGGATGTGGAGCAACTGGAACCTTCCCATGGTGCTGGGGATAGTGGAAAGATGGTACGAGCACTTGAGAAATATGTTGGAACTTTCTCATAAAGTTAAGGCTAACACCTATTCTATGGTGCAAAATTCTTCTTCTAGATATTACCCAAAAGAAATAAAAACGTTTCCATAAAAAACCTGTATAAGCATGCTCATAGCAGCCTTATTCATAATAACTAAGTACTGCAAACAACCCAATGTCCATTAACAAGTGAATAGATAAATTGTACAATTGACTATTACTACTGAGCAATAAATATGAACATACTAACATTACACCCAGTCATGTGGATGAATCTCAACAACATTATGCTGAGAAAAAGAAGACAGACATAAAAGAGTATATATTGGTTGAGATCATTTATATGAAGACTGGAAATATGTGATGGATATCGAGAGGGGTTGACTCTGGGAGGAGAATGAGGAAACTTGCTGGGCACAGAGAATGTTCTTATCATGATGCTTGCGATGGTACGTGGATGCATACCTTTGTCAAAACTTATCAAACTGCAAACTTAATATCTATGTATTTTACTGGATGCAATTTAGACTTCAATTAAAAAATTAAAAGTAAAGTGATCTATTATAGCCATAAAAATCAACTTTTGACCTTGTTCTACTTGTTTTATTTCCCTAATGTGGTCTACTTTAAAATTAATTCATCTTGTGGACTAATCACAAACTGTCATCATTTGGACTATAAGTACATTTGATAAAACCCTGCAGAAAGGTCCATAGTTCATTTCTCTTCTGTTAAACCATTCCACTTGTCTTTTTAAATTTTAATTGTAAATGTGTTTCCTGTTTTAGTAACGGGAATAGCATTGAATTTGGGGGGATGTCTGTTGAATTCAGGTGATACCTATCTGATCAGTTAGCACTTTGAGTTACCAGAAGTGTTATTGCTCACTTTGGGGTTAAAATTTTCTGGAAGTTGTTCATTTTTCTCAAGAAAGCAGAATATTTTCCTTCTAGAGTAGTGAATTAAGAATGACCCTATTAGGCACATCGATATCCACGTTGTACATAATGGCTTCCTTTTTTTTCTTGCCCTGTTGGTTCTCAGATTCTTCGTTTAATTAAAAATGAAAAAAAAAAAAAAAAAAGCAGTTTCAGTCTTTACCCCAAACCCAATCTTCCCAGAGCCTCAGAGACTGATCCTTTGGTTGTTTGACGTAAGCAAGTTGGCTCCATGGTGACTGATCTGGTATTTGCTGAAATTACCCAGCACGTAGTAAGCAAGGGTCAGTCATTAAGACGCATGAACCACAGGTCATCTGAGCCCTAGTCTGGTTTTCTTGTTGTTATGAGAATGGAGCCCGAGGTCACTAGAGACTAGATCCTTAAAAAGAAAGATTAGAAACTGCTCTTTTTTTTTAACATCTTTATTGGGGTATAATTGCTTTACAATGGTGTGTTAGTTTCTGCTTTATAACAAAGTGAATCAGTTATACATATACATATGTTCCCATATCTCTTCCCTCTTGCGTCTCCCTCCCTCCCACCCTCCCTATCCCACCCCTCCAGGCTGTCACAAAGCACCGAGCCAATATCCCTGTGCCATGCGGCTGCTTCCCACTAGCTATCTACCTTACTACGTTTGTTAGTGTGTATATGTCCATGACTCTCTCTCGCCCCGTCACAGCTCACCCTTCCCCCTCCCCATAACCTCAAGTCCGTTCTCTAGGAGATCTGCGTCTTTATTCCCGCCTTACCC